AGTGAGACTTTACTCCAGACAAATCAATCAATGAAAAGAATAGTTTGTTTCGGATCAGCAAGAGATAGTTGAAATTTCAAGTAAATATAATAAGGAAAGAAAGCTTGGAAAATTTAACACTCACAGAACATATTAAAGGCAAGAGAGACTGTGAAAGCCAATGAGTAATATACCTAATTAGCTTGTTTAAATGAATGCTAGAATTTACATAGCGAAAATGGATGTTGGAACAAGGAATGTGAGAGAGAGTAAAATGTTTAACATTGCTAAGAGCTATAAAAGATAGTAAGTTTTAGAGAACTTTTTTTTAATCATTTCACCCCAAGCAAGGCAATAAAGTCATTAAGACACAAGTGATTATTGAGTGTTAGAGAATATCAGGAAAAACTACTATTAAGGAAAAACTTCAATAAAAGAACAAAAAGACAGAAGATAACGATTGACATTGCACTTAAATTTTCGAAGATCAAAATTGACTGGAAAACAATAAACCAGAAGAGTGTTCCACAAGCAATAAGTGCAAGAGAAGAAACTGTTAGCATAGAACTTATGGTTTCATCTGGCCATTTTAACTGTAAAATGATGAGCCCTTATGGCCAATCTACTCTCTACAATTTTCTGTACTTTTCAGCTCTTACTAAATTTTATCTTTTCATTATTTCTCCTAAACCTTGTTCCACCATCCATTTACTCAAATATGTTATGCATTGTTTTCATCTGTATCACTTGCCTTCCATCTGTCCTGTGAGTATCAGATTTTCCAAGCCCTCTTTCCTTATTATGTGCCCTAGAAATTTCAACTGTCTCTTTTTGATGTTAAGTATAAGTTTATTTTTTGTTTCCATTTTCTCTAAAACTTTGTTGTTGCTCACATGTATGGCCCATGGTATCCTCAGTTAAATTCAGCACTTAGCAATGTCTATCCTTGTGTTTAGCTATAATCTGCTGGAAGGAATCTGGCATATAAAAGAACATTTGTACTGATTGTATTCCATGAATTTTACAGTAACACCACCTACATTAATATTTTTGGACTTGGAACGTATTGCTGAGAACAAAAAATGATAGAAAGCTATAAAAAAAAAAAGCCATGATTGCTCATGTCCTGAAGAGACATGGTGCATAGAAGCTCTTGTCTTGGTTGTTACAATGCCCGTATTAACCATGATGAGGACATTAATTTGATTAGATGAATGTATAATAATTATCATTAATTGATTTTATCCTGATCTTTCTGATTCCATTCTCCCTACTCTCTTTATACTCCTTTCTCTCTACTGTTTTTATCTTTCCTATTCCTTCCTGTCTTAATTCTTTCTCTCTTTAACTCCTTTCTCTCCCTCAACTACTTTTTCTTATCTTTTCACTCCTACTCCTTTCACCCACTTAATTCTCTCTCTCCCATCCTCATTTACCTCCTGTTTCTTTATTTCTCTTACTTTTCTCTCTCTCCTAATTTTCTCTTTTCTTCTTTTTTCACTCTTACTCCTTTCTCTCTCTTAGTCCTTCTCTCTCTCCTCCTCCTTTATCTCCTATTTCTTTCTTTTACTTTTCTTATCTTTTCACTCCTAGTCTATTCTCACTCTCAGTTCTCTCTCCCCCCTCCTCCTCCACCTTTTCATTCTTTCTTTCTCTCCTACTTTTCTTTCTCTCCTACTTTTCTTATCTTTTCACTCCTACTCCTTTCACCCACTTAATTCTCTCTCTCCCCTCCTCATTTACCTCCTATTTCTTTATTTCTCTTACTTTTCTCTCTCTCCTAATTTTCTCTTTTCTTATCTTTTCACTCTTACTCCTTTCTCTCTCTTAGTTCTTCTCTCTCCCCTCCTTCTTTATCTCCTATTTCTTTCTTTTACTTTTCTTCTCTTTTCACTCTTACTCCTTTCTCTCTCTTAGTTCTTCTCTCTCCCCTCCTTCTTTATCTCCTATTTCTTTCTTTTATTTTCTTTCTCTTCTAATTTCCTCTTTTCTTATCTTTTCAATCCTAGTCTATTCTTACTCTCAGTTCTCTCTCTCCCCACCTTTTCATTCTTTCTCTTACTTTTCTTTCTCTCCTACTTTTCTTATCTTTTCACTCCTACTTTTCTCTTTCTATTTCTCACTCTCCCCTCCTCCTTTATCTCCTTTCTTTTACTTTTTTCTCTCTCCTAATTTTCTCTTTTCTTATCTTTTCACTCCTACTTCTTTCTTGTTCTTAGTTCTCTCTCTCTCTCCCCCACACACCTTTATCTCCTATTTCTTTCTTTTGCTTACTTTTCTTTCTCTCCTACTTTTCTCTTTTCTTATCTTTTCACTCCTACTCCTTCCTTTCTCTCTCTTTCCTACTTCTTTATCTCTTATTTCTTTTCTTTTCTTTCTCTTCCTTCTACTTTTCTCATCTTTTCACCTCTACACCTTTCTCTTTCTCCCCCCCCTCCTTTATCTCCTATTTATTTATTTCTTTTTTCACTTTTCTCTCTTTCCTAATTTCACTTTTCTAATCCTGGGTTATCAACAAAATGTTATGGAACAAAACAATGTTATCAAGATTAGAAATATGGAACTCATTGGTATGGGATGTGAGTTTGAATCATGGCACTTCTTTGTTCCAAATCAACACAAATTAAATTTAAATGTTTAAAGAGTGTATCATCTTTAAAATGTTTTGATATTAAACAACAGTAAAGAGAAGTGTTTGCTGATTGGAAGTAATTAAAAAGAAAAGGTTGGATAAATGTCAAAAAAGAGCTGTTTCAAATTTTTAGCCTGACGGAGAAACTGACAGAAAATTTTATTTGCCTCACATTGAATGAATATACAAAAGACTCTCTTTTTTTGTCATAAAGATTTGCATATTGAAAATATTTTTTTTTTTACTTTTGATGTAAAGAATTTGTTCTGTGTGCATTTTTTGTGTTATTTTTTTAAAAATCTGTAAAAAGCAGAAAATTCCTGCAGGCATTTATCAGGAAATACTGAAAAGAAAATTAAATATTTCTTTCTTTCTCTATCTTTTTTTTAAAGCAAACAATTAATTAAAACATAGACCAAGGCAAGGTATTTAGTTAGGAAAAAAAAACATTTATAAGCTATTTATGCAATTAAACACTTAGAATCAAAATTTATTTAAATATTGATATTATTTCTTGGGTCTTTTAAATTTTGCTTGCAACATGAAATAAAAACATTCCTATATTTTTTTCTTATTTTTTTTTTTTTATCATTTTGTTAGTATAGATTGCCAATTGAAAAATATTGCTTCTTCAGAATGATGTGCTTCAGGTAATTTTTTTATTGTTCACTGAACAATGAAAAATAAAATCTTGATCTTGTTATCCAATTATGCTTGAAGAAAGCCTAAAAATTGTTATTTTATTTTAAATTGATTGTTTAAATGATATACACCAGTAAAATATATTGGTATATAACTAGTGTAACAAATTTGTCAATTCATTTCCTACATAAGTTTAATTAAAGAATATTAAGCTAAATACTTAGAGGTATTTTTATATATTTAACTTCTTTTTTTTACTGACAGTGCAACCAAGGCCCAAGAGACACTCAAGGTAGAGGGTTACTGAGAAATTCATATTATAAGGACATGTTAGGTATATATTGGTTGAACTTTGATTTGAAGAGACCAAGATTCTAGTTTCCAGAGAAGCATCCTCTTGGGAGTCTGTTCCACAAAGTAACTGTTCTTGGGGAAAAGCTGGCTGAGTAGAATTTGCTCCTTATCAAAGGAACATGAAGTGAATGGTAATGGTTTGTCAATATGAACATGGCAGATCCTAGCTGTGAATATTTGAGCTAGTGGGACAAAGAAATGTAACATGTTTGAACATCTGTCATAGTAATCGTGATAGAGTAGTGAGAGGATAGTAAATGTCTCATCTGTGGGATAAGATTGTGTAGCATGGAGATTAATTCATCACTAACATGGCCGCATAAGTCCTTTTGAACACTGTCAAGGCAGGAGAGCAGTACAAGCGCAGATATGGCAGCATTTAACTTTAAAATCCAAAGAAGAATCAGCAATATTATTAACCCTGTTCTAGCAGCTTGGTTTCAGTCTCTTTCCTACCTTTTCCCCATGCCTTTTCTATAAATACTTTCATGGTAATTATTCAGATGAGCTCATCACTATGTTACCTAGACTTTTTGAATTTAAGTGCAGTACTAAACTAGTGACAAGGTCTCATCAATTTACAGTTGAGCTGTAACCATAAATTCTATGCTAACAGTTTCTTTTCTTGCACTTCTCGCTTGTGGAACTCCATTTATATATATATATATATATATATATATATATATATATATATATATATGACTGAATAAATTATAAACATTATGTCTGCTTATTTTTATCATAATCCTTTCATATTCACAAATTATTTTCCATATATTACAATTAATAATTATATATATATATATATATATATATATATATATATATATATATATATATATATTTAGCTGGATTGATGTGAGTTTGTGATCCTGGGTTTCACGCTATTTGTGATCATCACACAAACTGATTAATTTTTAATTTTGGATATATATATATGGTTGCATATATCGGTGTTTTTATGGTAGTCTATGTATATAGCATGTATGCATGTCTTCGTAAGTATGAGTGTTATTCCAACATAAATTTTTCCTCCCACTACCATAAAAACACCAATATATGCAACCATATATATATATCCAAAATTTAAAAATTAATCATTTTGTCTGATGATTGCAAAACAGCATGAAACCCAGGGTCACAAATTCACATCAACACAACTAAATATGTTAGCTCTATCACTGATATTGAGCGCTCTCCAAAAAGTGCCGCACATATATATATATATATATATATATATATATATATATATATATATATATATATAAATAAAATAAATATATAAAAGACAGTTTCTAAATAATTAATGAATTTATTTTTAATCCAACATTATTATTGTTTCAAATGTTATTTGTGTCTGAACAATAAAGCATGCTGGATCAAATGGTGGTTTCTCTGGCAAAGGCAAGATGCAGGTTCAATCCCTGCTGTGGCAAGAATGTATTTTCTTTACTAAGGTTTCTTGAATGTTCAGGTTGAAAGACATATAGACATTATTTGATAAATAAAAACAAGGCATCTATTTCAAATATGAATTATCCACTATAATAACATTTGGAGTAATCAAAAATATATATATTTAGATGTGTGTATTTATGTGTGTGTACTTACTACTTTATACCATACTTCATTGAACTTAGTAAATACCTGTATATATGTTTTTCATTAATTGAAATTTATTGGCTACAAACAGACAATTTACACACAATTATCAAAGCAATTATTGTTTTATCTAATGAATCTGGCAGAATTCTAATAGCACTTGAATCCTTACTTCATTGTTTTGGGAAAAAAACCTAATTGACAAATAATGATTGCTAAAGTGGCTAAGACAGGAAAAAAATAATAAAAAAGGAAAAAAATTAAATTTATTTGATGGCAAATGTCAACAATTAAAATTTGCTAAATATTTTTTTCTTTCTTCTTCTGGAAAAGTTGGCTTGAGTAAAAAGAAAAAATATTTTAATCTAATTAATGAAACTTATAAATCCTTTTGATGTTAAGGCTTGATACTAGCGTTATTTTAAATGTTGGCCACAGATGGAAAAATTGTGTATCCAAAGTTACTTTGCCATTTAAATAGAAAAAGGTGTTATGCACCAATTTAGAAGAACAACTTAGAAATTTGGCTACATTTTTTTATGTTTCTTAATTTCATCATGATGAACCCATTAAAATGGCTACTGACTGCTTACCTCTTTAGAAAAGAAGCTAAAAAAGACAGCAAAACACTTGAATCATCATGGACGAATGTATCTCCAGGCTCCTAATCAAATAAATATTTGTTTACAAATGAATTTCATTATTCAATTGCATTAGTCTTAATAGAAAAAAAAGCAGATGCATTAACAAAAACACCTTTGAAAGTAAATTCGAATATCTTTAATGAAATCAGGAAGAAAGAAATAAAATGGAACCTGAGTTGTTTTTTTTTATTTAAATGTTAAAAAAAAGAGTTTTTTAAAAAATGGGAGAAATAAATTCTTCTGTGATATTTGCTGGTAATTTGTCTCAGCAAAAATTGTTACACTGTTTTCCAGAAACATTTATTTGTATGTTGATTTATGAACTGCTTTGATGTTTTGGGGTGAAGACAGGAATTCTGATCAGATGATATTAGAAAATGAATTTATCTTCGGCTGAAAGCAGTTAATTGTAAAATTTGTTTCTATTGGCAGATTAGAATGGTAATGTGCACCTTGAAAAACATTGATTTGGAAATTCTTGCAAAAATTGTCAGATTTTAATGAAACTTTCAGACTTATTTAATTTTATGAAATTTCAAGAAATTCTTTTTTGTATCAATTAATGTTTATATTGGTTATAAAATGCCTCAGAGAATTAAAATTATCAATTTTTTTGGTCAAACAGAACCTCTTTATTATAAAAAATCTGATCTGCATTGTAAAATAAAAAGTACAATAAAACTAAGATATTATTTAATTAGTAAACCTTTTAATTGTTTTTGTTAATAAAATATATTAACATACGAGTTTTTATAAATATAGACATCCATACACAACATTATCAGAAAATAAGTGCAGTAACTGTAGTAAATTTAAAATTTATTGGTAATTGTCTATCATTTCCTCAACAACCATCTTTATTAATAAGACTATAAAGTCAAAGTATCTAAAATTCAGTAAAATATTAGAATACTTAAAATATTTTATTTTTTAAGATTACTTGGTAAAATTATAAAAAAGGTATTTACATTGTATCCGTCATATTTTTATCACAATTATCTTTCCTGTGCATAAATTTTGCAAACATCAGACTGTCAATAAATGTGCCAACACATTAAAAACCATATCTGTGCTAAAAAATCATTTTCTGTTATAAACTAAAAGTAATATTTGTTGCAATTCAGATTAATTTAAATTTTAATCAGTCAGTTATTCTCAAATAATATTTCAGAAAAGTATATTTTTATTTTTTAAAGATTTCTTTCATAATGTGAATTATGTTGTGTTGTGTTGACAGATTTGTCAATATGGACAATTTCATTGATTTCACTGCTAATCATAAAAAAATAATTCCAATCTATTCAAATTAAGTTTGAAATGCATCAAAGTATTTTGCTTACTGGAAATATTAAATTTAATCTATTTACTTGGATATAAAACTAAAACAAAATCTTCAAGAAAGGTTTTTATTTTTAAAATGCATTTTTATTGTATGAAATTCCACTGACTTATTTGCACCAAGGTAAACTGGTGCAGAAAATAGCACTAGATGGACTTGAATCCATCGACAGAACCCATCCCCCTGGCAAACTTAAGGCTTGGTGCTACCAATATGGTTTGCTTCTGTGGCCGTTGCAAGTGTATGAGATTTCTCTGTCTCACACTGAGCTGACACAACAGTGTATCAATAAGTACCTGCGCAAATGG